TCCGTTACCGGTTAACGGTAAACGTTACGTACTCGTCGTACTAAGAGAGGACGGGGGGGGGGGGGGTTGTGTGGGATAGAAACCCCTCCTGGAGGGAGCTTTGGGATTTTAGTCTTTGCAGACCATTTACATGCACAAAAAACCTATACGACACACTAAAGGAAAGGGAAAACTCAAAAAGCGTAATGGGGCTTCTGTGAAGAAATTCACAGAAGCTCACAATTAAATCTGTGCTTGATATTTATAAATATCTTTGTGTTTGATTGTAATACAAGGTAAACAAGAATGATATTTATGGTCATTCAGATTTTACAATTGACTCCTCTGAAGTAGCGCATAAACTGACATGTATACCAAAAACGTAACCATAGACCATGCATATGCCTTGTAGGTTATTGACCTCCCCATATTGACAGATGGGCGTTACAGAATACAGGAAAGATATTAACAAATTCATAATGTTAGCTGTTCCATAATCAGATTCACTGACAGATGGAAACAGCATATGTACAGAAATGTGCACAAAACATTTTGTTCTGACTCATGAACACAGACACTATTGACAACCTGTGAAAAATATGTGCGAATGATGCTAAAATAAAAGTTTTAGCCATCCATTCAACCATATGTTTTAAATGATAACAATAATATATAGCCATAGTGGAAATGTAGTTATATTAAAAGCTTTTTTTATACAGGATGCTTTATAGTGACAAGGAAGTATATCAAAGGTAATAGAATAAGGTAAAAGCATAGAGAAAAAAAGTCAAAAGGATGGAAGAATTTAAACAACGCAGATTAGATCAATAAAACTCAATGCAGTTAGAAGCAGATTGAATGAATTTAGAGGCATAGATGACAGAAATTAAACCCACAGAAGAAGGTATTGTTTTTCTTGTTCCCTGCTCTTGAAACCACTGCAATGTCTTCCATAATGGGAAATAATAATAAGCCATGACTCACATTTATCTTCTGTTTTTGCCAAATCAAGCTGGGCTTCTAGTCAAGGTGTCCTCTCATCTTGTGGAGATGTGTTAACCTCCTCCCACTCTCCTCCTACGCTGGGCAACAGCAGAACTCAATTATTTAAATTAATAAAAGCCAAGAATGATAGAAACACAAATTAGCACTGTTGTAAAGAGGCCCTATTATGCTTTTTGGGGTTTTTCCCTTTCCTGTATTGTTTATACAGTATATGTTTTTCTGTGCAGTTAAATGGTCTGCAGAGGCTAAAATCCCAAAGTTTAGCCATATAGGCTAAGGGTCTGGACATCTATAAGCGGTTGACCAATCAAAACCGAGCAGGCCAGCTAACCAATCAGAGCAGGCTGGGCTCTGGTTTCAGACAGAGGGTGAAAAGAGGTGCTGCAGCACAGGCAGTATGAGGAAAACATGAAGACCTTTTTAAAACATTAAAGCATGTAACCATCTCACAATAGAGGCACAACATATAAATATTAACCTGAACATGGGCATGATATGTCCTAAAAGAATTGTATCGCTTTGAAATGATCTTTCCTTAAAGCATGTGCAGGAAGAACATTATTGTTGCTTATGTAATTCTTTGCATTTCCATAGTTGTTTTCCCCTTCTTTCTTTCTTCACCTATCTCTTGTGTTACCTCTCCTGCCCTCTCTCACTGTGTTGTCCTTTGTCTTGTCCATATAACCAATGTCCATATCCTTCTTCTCACGTCATCTCACACTTTTCTTTATCATTCTGTGGTTAATCTCTTTCCTTGGATAACTTCTCCCATGGCCTTTCTCTTATATGGCGTTTTTATTCATCTCCGTCTCACACCCTCTTTCTCTCTTGGATCCAACAGAAAAACCATGTGTACAAGAAGACCCTGCAGTCTTTGATCTACCCCATCTCCTGCACCACTCCACACAATTTTGAGGTCTGGACGGCTACTACACCCACCTACTGCTACGAGTGTGAGGGTCTGCTGTGGGGCATCGCCCGGCAGGGTATGCGCTGTGCAGAGTGTGGGGTCAAAGTGCATGAGAAGTGCCAAGAGCTGCTGAACGCCGACTGTCTGCAGAGTGAGTACATTTAGCAACATTATTCCCTTTTTTAGATTTAAAAAAAAAAAAGAAGTGAACTTGAAAAGAATGAGGACTTGAGGTTTTTCAAGGCCTTCAATTAGTTAAAGATGAAAAATTAGAATTTTTTATTTTTTTAATTTTGGTTAGTTACCATTAATTGTAACACAGCACATCATTGTTATCCTTCAAGCAGGTTCAAGTGCGACACAACGGCCCAACACATTTACATAAGCAGATGTAGCACTCCAGATAGGACTCACATGGGTGTGTCCCAGTCAAAAGCCCAGCGGATCCCAGTGGCTGGGGGTGTTGCCAAATTGCTAGAGGGCGTTGCCAAATTTCCCCATTTGTTCAATTACAGGATTTAACCATGAGATGCCGCTTCATTCACAAATACACAAAGACAACTGGGTGTTGTAGAACTTATTCTGTTTGCAATGTTTGCAGCTCTGCAGTTGTGTTTGTTGAATACTGTACCATTTAATCACTTATTTGTTATGGTTTTCACAGGCTAATATAATGAAAAAACATCAATATTTTAGATCAAATAAAGTATATAGTTTGCTTTATGCAGTATCTTTTTTGTAATATTGTTGGGGTGTTTTTACACAGTACAGTAGATTGAAGTAAATCAATTTATACATTAAGATAAGATAAGATAAGATAGACCTTTATTAATCCCCGTGGGGAAATTCAGTAGTTCAAACAGCAACAGGGTAAGAGTGAAAAACAGGATAGCACAGATTCACACAGATTAATAAAATCAAAAATAAGATGAGCGATAAAAATAATAATAATGAGAAACTATGAAATAAGAAATGAATAAAACTAAAATATAATTATCATATCATATATTATAATGTATTGTATTATTAAGTAATATCATACATTAACCCCATTATAGCAGATGCCACATTGAATGGATGAACACATTTATGCATCAATAATTACAACAGAGTATTTCTAAATACAAGTTGTAAAAATACGTATATGTATTTAATATTAATAACATAATGATTAATTTCAGATGATTATACTTTTCTGGGTTAGGTCCGGTCTTACAGCGCTTAGCTCTCTGCTGCAGAGAAGATCACTGCTCTAAACAAAGTCAAAAATCCTACATCCAAACGGAATAAATATAATTAATTATTATTAATACGTTAATATGGAGCTATTTCAGGGTCATAAGTTTTGATCATTCAAAAAAATACAATTTATTTGAAAGTTCAAGTTTTTATCCTGAACTTTGAAAAATTTGAATCCTTATTTTTTCAGTTACATTTTTTATCGTTTTCAGATTCAAAACAATTATTTTTTCAGTTTCAAATCTTGTTTTTTCAGGTTTCACATTTTGCTTTTCACCTTCAGATCGTTTTTCGCTTTCAGATCTTTTTTTTTCGCTTTCAAACTTTTGACCCTGATGTTGCTTGGGGGGGCGGGGCTTAGCAAAGTGTAGTTTGGCATCCTGAGTGACAGGCCTCCCTCTGTCATGTGGCCTTCATGGATGTTAGGTAGCGCGAGAAATATAACTTAATACTTTCTATACACGATACTCCCGTGATAGGTGGGAAATAAAACTGATACCAGCGTCAAAGTTCCGTTAAGCGAGCTGTTGAGCATCGTAGTTGGCAACAATCAAGGTATAAGTGCAATAAACTGTGCTAGAATGTGAAATTACGTATCCGCAACGAGCCAGCAGGCTGTTCTGGTGGACCTGACGCCATCCCCCGCTGTCTCACGGAGAGATACCGCAGGTCCTTCCTTCCTGCAGCGGTCAGACTATACAACCAGCACAGCCTCTAGACCAGCGGTCGGGAACCTATGGCTCGCGAGCCATATATGGCTCTTCCGGTGACGGCATATGGCTCCCAGACAATTTTGAGTTGAAAAAAAAAAAAATCAGTTTGGAACTGATTTTAAAATACTTGTGATATTTCTTAATAATACTGTGTCATTTTAAAGTAAACAAAAATTAGTTTTGAAGATAAATTTCACGGGTCACGGGTCACCCGTGGGTCGGGTCGGGAACCAATGGCTCGCGAGCATGTCCGGGTCATTGTAAAGGTGAAGAAATCAATTTGAGCATATAGCCAACTAGTTTATCCGCTTCAACCCTTGTAACGGAAAAGATGGCGAAAAGAAAAAAAGACGATGATTACCGTTTTGTAAAGTAACCGGTGTAGTTCGTACTTACTGAGAAACCGTATGAGCGGTAGACACTTACCGAAAAGGTAAGGAAATGATAACCCGGGTTTCGTGGGCGTTATTATCACCTTAGGGCAGTGGAACGAACCAGGTGTGTGCATCAAACGACGACTGAGCAGACGTGAGAGGCGACATCGAGGAGCGTATTGGAAAAGGACGACAAGGCGGCGGACTATAAAGCTACGTTTACTTCGGTACCACGCATAGCTTCCACACGGCGAATATTAAAACTGGCAAAGTAAGCGACGGTAAAAATAGGTAACGTTATAATCTGTATGGCGTCTAGGACGAAGAGAGGTGTTTTACGTTTAAGGGGAGACAGGTGCGGTCG